TGGATACATTTCTAAGCAAACTATATTACTTACACTTTTCTCTAAATAGTTTAGCATGTGTTTTTTTAACTAGAGTTTAATATATATTTAGTTATTCTTTTAAACAATTTCAATAAACAAATATAAGAAAGTTCTGACAAATTCATGCCTGTTTCACTGAAACACCTATCAAGTTATAGAACATTAACATAACCTCAGAAAATTCCCTCATGCCCCAGCCCAGTTGATACCTGAAATAACCCCTCTCCTACAATGACAGCCACTATTTTGATTTTAAAAATACCATTAATAGTTTTTTATCCCTTTTATGACTTAAATATGTGCCATTCTAAAAACAAAACTCCATTTGCTGTGCAAATAATGGATTATGGGAGAACAAAAGTGGAATGTGGGAGAAAAAAAGTCTGTAATGAAATTTGGGAAGCCTTTGCATTAGTATAGGTGAGACCATGTGCCTTGGAATAGTATGGTAGCAATGAAAGTGATCACAATATATTGTGCTGGTGGGTTGGATGGGCATTCCTGTGTGGTGCTATACTTCCTGAGATGACCAAGACTTCAGAAGTAGTTTGAGGATAGGGAAATCAACTTTCTGTTTTGGACTGGTTATATTTAAAATGCCTATTATGCTCGATCTCAGGGCCAAGGTACACATATAGGACTCATTGTTCTTCATATTAATGTCTTTTTCTTTTGGTTATTGTCAAGTCTCTGTAACTAGCTTGGAGATTATATGTATGTGAAAATGGATTAGGTAGACTATGCCAATCTGTTAACAGTCAATCTTCTGATGCCCAGAATTAAAAAAATACTATATACAAAACAGGGCATATTAGTTTAACCAGAATTTTTTCTTTTGTGTTTGCATATATTATGTATATCACAGTCATATTTCCCATATTGTATGAAAATGAAATTCTCTTAAGTGAATAAACTTCATACAAAAAGGCACTCTACAATGACACCGTTAATGTTTTTATTGAAGCCCACTTTGTTAATAATTGTATGATTACAAGACCAAATAAGTCACAGGCTTTTCCCTTGTTAAAATTTCAATGAATAGAAGGTTAATTGTAAAGAGAATATAAACCTTAACATAATAAATATTCCAAAACCTAAATAGTTTGCTATGGAAATTTAACACAGAGGAAGAAGAGCTAAGAATTGTGCTAGGATTTTAAAAAAGGCTTCAAGTTAGAGGAGACCTTTTTGAGAGGCAGTTTGAGTTTTTACAGGTTGATTACAGTATTGGCAATTTTGTGGGAGTGAATGGCCATTATAGGGTTTATTTAGAAAATGGCAAATATCCTTATTTATGTATAGCATAAAAAGGCAGTCACACATGTATTCAATTAGTCAACACACTTTATAATAAATGCCTTTTTTTCTGGATACCAAGGTCTCTTAAATAAAGATTAGTTTCATATTTTCCCATCAGGAAATTCAGAGTCTATTTGAAGAGATAGGTATATATGTATAAAGGTATGAAGAATGTATGTATTTTTCATTGCATGACATTTTAAAAACATTAATAAGACATTTTGCATTTTTTAATTCACTCCTAATTACCCACCCCCCCCAGTCTAGGTACTAAATTCAACATTTTAGTTCATGGGAAATGTAGAGTCTAATGCATGAAATTTCCTAATTCTAGTAAACCATTGTTCATAATCATTTCTTCTTGACCTCTAAGCCCATCCTCAAATTATGCTATATTGAATAAATATAAAACATATATAAGAAATGTAATAAAGACACATTATAAAACCTATATTAGAATAGAAGAGAAAGAAATAATTTCTTCCTAAAGAAGTTGATAAAGTGGTAGAAAGATAACATCTGTGAAGTGTGGTGTAAAAAGCTAGATTTGCATTGGTAAGTAATATTGTAGGATAAATCTTTTTGATAATTTTAACAACTTTCCCTCCTGCCCTGAAGTTTGGGCTCAAATGTTCATTTTCTTTAAAATCCATGTCGCTCTATATTCCTTGCCACCAGAGTATTCACTATTTTATATGAAAAGAATATCCTGATCAGGGAAGGTTGTAATGGAAAAAAAAAGGATGTAAACTGTAAGAAGACTGGGTCTTAGGAAATGATGGAAGGAGATTCTCCAGAGCAGCTGTAAGCAGGGATTTTAAAAATACAATGGGATTTTTAAAAATATTACTCTAGTATTGGAACTTCTAAGAAACTCAAATAAAGGATGTTAAAATTGGTTTTGATTGTTGGATTCCAATCATGGTTCTTGCATTGTGAAGAATGAATCATGTGGACCTTAGTATTAGAAGGCTATGATGATTATTCTAATATTTATAATGTGAGGCAGGCAATGGGTTGTGCATTACTTTATTGGATCTTTTTGAGAGTGGACAACTCCTAAGTGTGCAGCTTGATACATTTTCAAACATAACTCATAATTCAAGATTCTTGTGGATTGGACTTCAATATTTTAAAATCATTAAGGCCCAATTTCCTGGTGAGCACTGTTCTTTTAAAAATGAATAGACACTATCAACCTGGTAGCAGGAAATCAATAAAGAGGAAAATAGACTTGAGAGGGGCCATGGGCATTGGCATGGCTAAGATATAACAAAAACACTGATGTTTTTCTTGCTGTCTCACTGATCTTATTTTTCAGTCTACAGAAGGATGTTAAATATAGTGACCTATAGAATATGGGAATTTAGGAGACTAATGTCCATTCCTTGTGGGCAAAATATACTGTTGAGTTTTAAAACAAAAAGGCATTTAAGATTACCCAAGGAATGGTAGTAAAGTTTAGAAAGATAGTCTGGGGCAAAAATGAAAACCAGAATCTTAGAAAACGTAAATGCTGCTTAGAAATTATTGGGGAGAAATCTCCATACTGCTCTCCATATTGGCTGCACCAATTTGCAGTCCCAACAGCAGTGTATGAGTGTGCTTTTTCCCCCACATCTTCACCAACACCTATTGTTGTTTATATTCATAATAGCTTCCATTCTGACTGGAGTCAGATGAAATCTTAGAGTGATTTTGATTTGCATTTCTCTAATTGCTAGCAATGATGAACTTTTTTCATGTATTTATTGATGATTGTATATCATCATCTGAGAAGTGTCTATTCAGGTTCTTGGCCCATTTATTGATTGGGTTATTTGTTTATTTGGTGTTTAACTTTTTGAGTTCTTTATATACCCTAGAGATTAGTGCTCTATCTGATGTGTGAGGGGTTAAGATTTGCTCCCAAAAATGTAGGCTCTCTGTTCACCTCACAGTTTGTTTCTTTTGCTGAGAAGACTACAGGGAAACAGCTATATCAATGTTTATAGCAGCACAATTCACAATAGATAAACTGTAGAACCAACCTAGATGCCCTTTAATAAATGAATGGATTGAAAAAATGTGGCATATATACACAATGGAATATTACTCACCAATAAAACAGAATAAAATCATGGCATTTGCAGGAAAATGGATGGAGTTAGAAAAGATAATGCTAAGTTTGCCAATCCCAAAAAGCCAAATGCTGAATGTTTTCTCTAATATAAGGAGGCTGATTCATAGTGGAATAGGAAGCAGGACCCTGGGAGGAATAGATGAACTCTAGATAGGGCAGAGGTATGGAGGGGAAGGGAGAGGGTATGGGGTTAGAAATGATGGTAGAATGTGATAGTCATTATTATCCAAAGTACATGTATGAAGACATGAATTGGTGTAAATATACTTTGTATAAAACCAGAGATATGAAAAATTGTGCTCTATATGTGTAATAAGAATTGTAATGCATTCCACTGTCATATATAAAAATAAATAAATAAATAAATAAATAAATAAATAAATAAATAAAAGAAATGATTGGGGAGTTGACTAGAGTATTTACTTACATTCAGAACAGAAATTATATGATCATAATTTAGTTAAAGAAAGGAAAAGGAGGACCCCTGAGTTCTGGAGAACTTGGGGCTACTTAAATAATATATCCCCACATTTTTTTTTGTCTTCAAATAAGAATGGAGTGGTGACAAAGAAATACATTAGTTAGGACTATTTGATTGTAAGTAATTAAGAGTCCAATTCAAAGTTAGTTTTTTAAATAAATTATTTTTATTAACTCTAATTATTAAATTAAATAATTGACTAATATAAACGTATATAAATAATAACTCATATAACCAAAAAATGCTTGGGAATTTGACTTTAGACACAGCTTGATCAAGGAGCTAAAATCACTGCATCATACATCCCGTCGCCCTCCCTCTCACAACTCTTGTTTTATTTTTCATTTAGACTTTCTCTATGTATGGGCAAAGATTGCCTCCAGATGAATACTCTACCAACTTAGCAACTCTAGCAGGAAGTGTTCCCTTTTTTTCTCATACAGGGACAGTACAGATTGGGTTTGATTAGCCTGACTTGGCTCACTTGAAATGTTAAATCAATCACTGTGGCAGGAAGGATTTTGTTTTTAATCGATTAGGCCAAAGTTAAGTGCTTATACTATTTCCAAAGGATTGGATCAGCTCTGTCCAGAACTATACAAACTCAAGTGGATGGACTGTGGATTTATCAAAAGAAGGATATTTTTAACAGAAGAATGGATTCCAGACAAAAATAAATCAACACATGTTCAATTTAAAATGACAGAGAAATAAGACTGAGAGTACAAAAGAAAGGAAGAGAGATGAAATAGATGAAGGAGAGTTGAGAGGAAGGACAAAGAAGAGAAGGAGACAGGGGAGAAGAGGGAGTAAAAAATGAAGAAGGAAGAAAAATAGAGGAGATAGCAGAGGACAGAGAGAATAAGATGTATATGATGGAAAGATGTTTAGAGACTAATTAGAGGAGCTGTGCATATAGAGAGACTGCAAACAAGACAATATTCAGAAGCTTTATATGAGCATTCCATGTTGAAAAGAATGGGAGTCCCATGTATGGCCTTATAAGCAGACTTTTTCTGTGACTATAAAATACCTGATCTGATCCTGTGTTGGGAGAATCACATGTTTCAAGGCCTTTCATACTTTTGTTAGATGCAAGTATCTGTTCAAAATTTTCTTCACAGCCTCTTTTACTTCCTTATTCCTCAGGCTATAGATAATGGGATTCAACATTGGGGTTATCACTCCATAAGACAGTCCAATGATTTCATCAGATACTTTGGTGTTGTTTGATTTGGGCTTTGTGTACATAAAAAGGGCTGACCCATAGAATAAGATCACCACAGTCAGGTGGGCTGAACAGGTAGAAAAGGCTTTTTTTCTCCCCTCAGCAGAATTAATTTTCAGGATGGAAGAGAGAAT